GGAGGTGTACCCGTGTCCAGATGTCACCATGCATGGGCTCGCCACAGAGGGACAGCATGACAGCTTTGCCTGGAGCTCACCTGCCTGTCATCCAGCATCTGTGAGAAACACCCGTGTCCCCCAGGTAGCTCTGTCTTCCTGCAGTAGTAATTGGAGCTGTGCCATTCTCATTATGAACCCATTAGAATTCCAATTTAAAGGTCACGCATGCTTCTGTGAATTCAAGGTGTGAGTTGTTGAGGACTCATTGAAGACTTAGAATTCAGGCGGATGTTTCCCACTGCCCCAGTTCTTTATGTAAGAGATACGCCTGCCAACCCACGCTCTGGGAAAGTGGATTAGAGAGGAATAAAAAAGAAATTAATTAATGTAATTCTGAGTTTCAGTATAAAACCAGTGTTCCATTTAATAGACACTTGGCCTTGCAGGATCAAGTACCAGTAGATTTTCTGAACAGATTTCTATAGAATTAGTGGATCATTTGCAGCTTTCAATTTCTGGGAAGTCTTCCCAACATAAGCAGGAAAATACAGTGGAAAGAGGACACTGTCTCAGTTATCTAGTGCTGCTATAACAGAAATACCACAAGTGGATGTTTTAGCAAACAGAAGTTTATTCTCTCACAGTTCAGGAGGCTAGAAATCCGAATTCGGGGCCCCAGCTCTGGGGGAAGCCTTTCTCTCTGTCAGCTCAAGGGGAAGGTCCTTATCTCCTTTCAACATCTGTGGGCCTGGCGTTCCTTGGAGATCTCCATATGTCTTGGCATCAATCTTTCCCTGGGTCTAGGAAGTTCTCAGAGCAGGGAACCTGGGTCCGAATGATGTGCTCCACACTCGGCTCTTCCTTCTTGGTGGTAGTAAGGTCCCCCTCTCTCTGCTCGTTTCTCTCTCCTTTTGTCTCTTGTAAAATAAAAGATGACGTAGGCCATACCCCAGGGAAACTCCTCTTACATCACATCAGGGCTGTGACCTGAGCAAAGGTGCTGCATCCCACCCTAATCCTCACTAACATGACCTAGTGCTGCCTAATTATCATAACAGACAGCTCACTCCCAAATGGGACCATAACTACAGGCATAAAAAAAAAAAAAAACCCACAGGCACAGAGGCTAGGAATTATAACACAGTACAAAGTGGGGGAAAATCAGATCACAAAATGGAGGACAACCACTCAAGCGGACACATGGTTTGGGAGACACAACCATTGTGAGAAAGTATTAGTTGTTGCAGCGTTGAGTGACACAGACAATGTGTCACCTTCTGAAAACACTGCAGTGGCACCTCGGACAGTTACAGCAGGAAAAGGAGATGGAGACGTGGGAGACGGGCAGGGACCAGGCGACTTTAGCAGTGTCTCTCATGGTTATTCAGGTTCTAAAAGCTCTGCAGTGCATGTAACCAAAGGGTATGTTTGCTTTTTTTGTTTGTATGCTCCAAATATGCCAGTTTAAATGACCATACCAGTTGCTGTCGAGTTGACCCCGATTCATGGTAACCTCATGCGTGTCAGAGTAGAACTGTGCTGCACAGGATTTTCAGTGGCTGATTTTGGGGAAAGAGGTTGCCAGGCCTTTCTTTTGAGGAACCTCTGGGTGGACTCAAACTGCCAACCTTTTGGTTAGCAGCTGAGGACATTAACTGCACTACCCAGGGACCTCGAGCAGATCCAGATGCCTGTTAACACCATGCTGCGGGTCCGGTTTGGTTTCTGGACCTGCTCCTGGTCTGCGGGGTGAGTGGAGACCTCCGTGCACCATCCTGGATCCCCACCGAGGGTTGCGACAGGTCTCAGTTCTCTGAAGTGCATTCCCGCCCCGTCAGCCTCCCGTTCTGTAGGAAGCTCCTGCGTGTCCCTGAGGATCAGCTGCCCCTCCTCCGTTTTATTCCTCACTTAGTGGTTTACTACTTAAAGATGAAAGTGGGCTCGTGCTGAAGACATTTCCACTGCGTCAAACAGAAAAGAGAATCAGTTTTCGAAAGGAATTAGCCAGCTTATATGGACAGTTCCTAATGGGAAACCAGCCCTTCTCGTCCTACACTCCGGTTCCTGACACAGATTAGTTTTGCCAAGGGGGGAATGATGGGATGTTCGGTGGTGTGATGTCTGGCTTTGTTTTGGTGGGGTTAATTTTCCCTTAGGGGGAGAAACGCAAATGGAGCCTCCTGACTCATCTTGACATTTTCCTACCTGGAATTATTTAGCAGAGCCGCCATGTCCCGCGAGGCCAAGCGTGTGTTTGCAGGACAGAAGGGCTCCTGCATGAGAATAATGCGCGCGTTGTGAACGGATTTCCCCCACAGCAAACCTTCTGTGCCTCTGTCAGCCACTCTCCTGTTACCACACCATGCAGCCTTCCTGTCGCACTAAGGTTCCCCACGTGGGAGCTGCCCCCATGGGTGCTGGGCGCAGTGTGGCAAGCCTGTGACGGTCGGACCAGCAGATGTCCTGGCCCCCACTGGACCTCCTCAGACCTGGGCAGAGCACGGGCCTGAAGGGACAGGCTGCAGTAGTGCTGCATAA